GCTTGGGACACCCAAACCCCGACTTCCAAATGAAGGTCTCACTACAACAGTATACACCTTTGAATGCTTATTATCTCAGGTTCAGAACGAGAAATATGTGAAGTGGCCCTCAAAGATGAGATCTAAACAGAGCAAGAAGGACTTGGACAAGTACTATCATTTCCACAAGGATCACAGCTATGACATTGACTATTACTTCTAGTTGAAAAGAGAAATCAAGTTCCTCATATGCAAGGGGTTCTTGTGGAGGTTTGTGGCCCGATATGGCGACCAATTAGTTGCAAACCCCTAGAATGCACCTCAAGAGAGGCGACAATTGCAGCATCAACGGCCTGTTGGGGAGATATATGTCATATCGGGTAGTTTTATTGGTGGAAGCAAATCCGGTTGTACCAGTAAAGCTCACATATGAAAAACTTAGTCAAAGGGTTTATTTAAGGTCCAAGAGGTACAAAAAGCCCCATGCTCTTAAATACAAATAACCTTTTTAGAATTTGACCTAGAGGGTTGCCAACTCCTTCATGATGATGCCCTTGTCGTCAAAGCTTACATAGCTCGGCTAATATTATTTTCTCAGATGCATTCGATCAGCTTAGAATTGTCAAGAACAACTACTACCTACCAAAACCCATCTGGTGGGGGTTTTTGGGAGAAAAAGGTATTCTCATTAGGTTATGTTTAGCTCATACCAACTCTTGGGGAACTGCCTTGTCAAATGACTACACCAACTAAATTTCTGGTCATGGATGCCATTTCTGTTGAAAAGACCTTCCCTAAACTCCATCAAGGCTCCTTCTGCATACCACTTGGTCATAAAATTTCCCACCAAGAATGGGGTTAATGTAGTGAGGGGAGACCAAAGAATATCCAAAGAATGAGATACGTCCTCGATGAAGCAAAAAAGAAGTAGATATTGTAGAGTTGGACGACCTAGACAAGAGAGACGAGTTGGATACTACACATACACCATCAGAAGAACTAGAAGTTGTGCAGACGTCTTCATGTGGAAATAAGAATACATGGAGAGAATAAACTTGAAGATAATTGTTCACAGGCTTAGTGTGCACCCTAAATTTAAGCCTATTAAACATAAGTGATTGAGCTTTGCCCTAGAAAGACAACGAGCTATCAACGAAGAAGCAGCCAAGCTGCTTAAAGCCAAGGCCATTACGGAAGTTGACTATCCAACCTGGTTAGCCAATGTGGCCTTGGTTAAGAAGACCAATGGGAAGTGGTGCATGTGCATACACTTTATTGATCTTATTCAAGTTTGTCCTAAGGATAGTTTTTCCCTCCTGCTGATTGACTTTATCATCGATGCCACCTCGGTACACAAGCTCCTTAACTTTATGGATGTCTTCTCTAGCTATAATCATATCAGAATAAGCCCCACTGACTAGAAGAAGACATCTTTCATAATTGATCATAGAACTTTTTGCTACTAAGTTATGCCTTTTAGGTTGAAGAATGCCGAGGTCATTTACCAACGGTTGGTGAATAGGATATTCGCTAATCAGCTTGGCTGCATAAAAGTTGAGCTCCACATCGGTCACCTCTAGGAGTCTTTCAAAATCTTGAGATAGTATGGGATTAAAGTAAGTCCATCCAAATGTACCTTTGGGTTCTTGGTGGAAAAGTTCCTGGTTTTTATAGTCAACAGAAGGGCAATTGAAATGAAATCTGAAAAAATCAAATCATTTCATGAAATGAATCAACCTTTCTTCAAGATCCTAAAGGCGGCCTTCCAATGGAATGACCAGTGTGTAGGAGTCCCAAATCATTCAAATCAAGCTTCAAAGACTTGATCCTGAAAATCTCAATCTTCAGACTTTAGCAAAACCTACGATCTTTGATATGTACTTGTAGCTCTCGTCCCGTAAAACATTTTTCGCTCTTGACTCGAAGCAATCCGAAGGACGGATAGCCGTAGATTGCAAAGAGAAAACTTGGAGAACCCTTGTTTCCCTCTCTTTTTTTCCTCTCTCTCTCTATCAAAAAATGCGTGGTGTAAAATGGGGACAAAATCTTATTTTTCTCCCCTAAAATGTGGTCCACATTAAGCCACACATTCCATCTTTTTCTTATCCGATTTTATCCCAAATCAATTAAATCTCGCTACGTGTTAAGTTCAATATATTTTATTTGACCAAACTTTAAATTATTTTTTGTGTTTCGCAATTAAAACTCGATCGTGTTTATTTAAATTATGCGACACTCGATCGCGTCGTAAATTGTAAAAAATTTGACTATCTCAGAATTTGACAAAATTTATCTGGGTAATTAGATTTTATAAGATGAATCCAACAGTGAGGTTCATTTCTTCATCTGAGTTTCGAAAAAATTTAATTTTTCAACCCGTACATTAATGGCTAAAGCACACCTTCGATCCTAGTTAGCCCGTAAGAATGGGAGGTCCTCACCTTATATCTGATTGTATCAAATTTCTTGGTCTGCGAGGACATTGGTAAGGGAAGAAGAAAAGGTGAAAAAATTAGTATATTTTTTTAGCAAAGCTTTGAGAGGAGCAAATGAAAGATACCCGAAAATGAAGAAACTAGTCTTAACTCTTATTATGGTAGCTTGTAGGCTCAGGTCATCAAGGTGCCAACAGACCAACCAATGAGGTCAGTCCTTCATAAGCCTAAATCTTCAGGAAGATTGGTGAAATGGATGATAGAGTTGGGAGAGTTCGACATCAAGTTCAAGCCTAGGACGACCATCAAAGGACAAATTCTTCCTGACTTCTTGGCTGAATTCAGACTAGAACATTAACCAAAAAAAGCTTCTTAAAAGGAAGGCTTCGTACCAGACTTACCCACATGGGAGTTGCACATCGATGAGGCCTCTAAAAACCAAAGAAGCGGAGTCGAGTTGATCATAGCCTCACCATAAGGGACAGAACTAGAATATACATTGAGGTTTGAATTTTTCTCATCAAATAATAAAGCAGAGTATGAAACATTTGTTACTGGACTCAAGTTGGCCTTGTCGATGGAAGCTCAGCAGATCATCGTTTAACAAACGACTCCCAGCTAGTAGTCAGATAGGTTGGCTCTGAGTACAACACTACAAGGGAAAGGATGGTGGCATACCCGAAGGTGGTGAAAAAGATGCAAAACAAATTTCTTCACTCAGAAATCAAGAAAATCCCTAAAGCTGAAAACATCAAAGTAAACCTACTAGCAAAACTAGCCATGCCTCCTCAGGAAAGGTTAGACAGCAAAGTGCCCATGGAGTATTTATTGAACCCAAGCATCACAGACAACCAAAGTGATGAGATCACGACAACAGAGGAAAGGTCGAGCTGGATTGATCCATTCTATGAATTCTTGCGAAACAAGAACAAGATGTATGATCCAAAAGAAGCAAGAAAACTCAGGAGCAGGGCATAAAGATTCCTGATCATCCAAGGAAAACTCTACAAGGGCAGATTTTCATGGCCATTACTCGGGTGTGTCAACTCCGAAGAAGCCAATTATATACTCAGAGAAATTCATGAGGAAATCTACAACAATTATATAGGAGCTTAGATGTTAGCGCACAAAGCTCTGCACCAAGTATATTATTGGCCCATGCTAATTAAGGATGCAACCGATCTAGTCAGGAGATGTAAGTAAGTCATGCCAATTTCATTCAAATATCCCAAGAAGCCCATGAATAAAGGATTTGTTACAATATTGGCTATGTTTCATCTGATTGGAGTTAAATAAGGAGATTTTGAGCTTGAGTTTACTTAAGACCTTTATCACAGACTGTTTTTGTTGGACCTTTTAAAAATTGAACATCTTTTGGATACAAAAGTATGGTTCTATTCATTCTGGCTACTTATTGTAATACTAGTTAAAAAAAATGGCGTACAAGAAATATATTTGTATTCAAATCCAAGATCAAATTGCAAAGATAGAGGAGAGAGAAAAGAATTTAAATACTAGTTATAGTGGGGGCGAGTGGTGGTGGGCGTCAGTGGTGGTGATGAAAGACGATGATGGTTGTGGTGAGTGACGACGATCAGCTATGATGGTGGCAGCCGTGAGTGGCAATGATGATGGTCATAGTGGTGGGGCGGTGGGGGTGGTAGGGATGATGATGGGATAGTTGCGATGGTCGCAAGGTGCCGACAACGGTGGTGGTGGTGGGGTAGCGATAGTGGTGGTGGCGAGGATGATGGTTGTGATGGGGCGATGGGGGTTGTGGTTGTTATGGAAGAGGTGGTGGTGGGGTGGCAGCAATGGTGGTGGTGAGGGTGGTGGTGGAGGTAGGGTTGCGACAATGGCGGTGATGGTGGTGGCGGGGGGAGGGGGGGATGGGGCGATGGGGGCGATGGGGGTTGTGGTTGTTATGGAAGAGGTGGTGGTGGGGTGGGAGCAATGGTGGTGGTGAGGGTAGTGGTGGAGGTAGGGTTGCGACAATGGTGGTGACGGTGGTGGTAGGGGGAGGGGGTGGTGGTGTTGGGCGATGGGTGTGGTAGTGGTGGTGGAGTGGTGGCAACAACAGTAATTGTGGTGATGGTTGTGGTGGGGCGGTGGGGGTGGTGATGGTGGTGGGGCAGTCGGGGTGGTGGTGGTGACGGGGCAGTTCCAAACACTATTTATAAAAGAAAAAATACTTATGAGAAGTTATAAGTTTTAGAACACTTTTAAAAGATTACTCCAAACACACCCTTAGGTCTTAGGGATCTATTTTCTCTATTAAATTTGAAGTGTTAATATTAACTGTCGGATTAACTTTAAAGTAAAATTTAAAAAGATCTCAACCGTAAAAAAAAAAATTATTTTGTTTATGTTTTAAAATTTGAATTGTATTATAGTTTATTATATAGATTTTTGACAGTAAATATAATTTTATTCCCTTGTCATCTCAGCTTTAAATGAGATTTCGGTACTGGAGTTCGGATGTTTATCTTATATCTCACAAGTTGTTATTGTTCAGGCAGTGTCACTGTTTGATCTCTGATTTCAATGTTGTAAGATTTAATCGCAGTGGTTCTTATTGAATACTATTCATTTTACTGGGTTTAGTCTCTCTATACCTTCAGTGGCATCTGTTAGATGGAATTGTTAACAATGAAAATACACGATTATTAACTGGATATAATTGTACTCTATTCCGCATTTTATGGGTTGGGGCATTGCACAAAAGAGCACAATGAAGTGATTAATAATTGACGAGTGTCCAAAAAAGGAAAAGTTGCAAAATAGAAGACAGAAGAGAAAAAAGACAAACCAGAGTAGATCAATTGTTGCCAGTAGTTTAAGCGTGCTCCACTGCGAAATGCAGACTGCTTTGATGCAAATGTTTGCAAAGGAGATGAAATCCCCCATGCCAACTTAGGGTTGCGCCGAACCAAATCAAGAGTTATGTCTGTAACATTAATAGAAAAAAGTTAGTTAGTTGACAAGAAATATTGGTACTAGTGTGAACATTATTTAAGATTAATAGTATTTTTTGTCTCTAAGATATGCATTTGTTATCAATTTAGTCTTCGTTGTATTAGTTGTGTCAATTTGATTTAAAAAATATTCAGTTTGTGTTCAATGATCTATATATAGGCAATCCGTTAAATTGTGGAGGAAAGTGATCCCGTATTTATCACGTAATACTGTTTGAAAGAATAACACGTTGTCACTTCCGTCAAAGAACTTAATAGATTATCTAGTTAGAGACTATTTAAATATGAATTGAATACTTTAGAGAATAAATTGACAAAATTGATACACAAAAAAAAACCAAATTGATAAAATGCACATACTTGAGGGATTAAAAGTGCTATTAACTCTTATTTTTATTTCTTCTTTGCTTTCCTTCTGGCAAAGTAAATGTTTTTCTAAGATACACAGTCAGATATAAGATAATGGAAAATGATCAAATCATGTTGATCATAAGTGTTCTATAAAGTACTACAAAGACTCACCATAAAGTCCACCCGCTATCAAGCCAACGACTAGTGTAACACCTGTTTCATCTTCAAATGGCTTGGGCTCCTTGTCTGCTTCGGTAACTTCCATCAAGTAGAGAACCATCTCTCTTTGGCTTCTATTAGCAGCTACATGGAGAGGTAGTGCCTTAGCGTAGTCGAAAATATAAGGCAGATGAATGTTCTTGTTCACTAGCAACTTGGCTGCCTCAATGTTGCCAGTTGCTGCTGCTGTATGAAGGGCTGTTGTGCCATAATAGTTAGGCAAAGCCAGATCTGCAGGTGACATCTTATCCACAAGGTTCTTCACAAAATTGTTACTCTTTGCAGATCTAGCTGCTACAGCGAGTGTCGTTTCTGCGAGTCCCATGACAATTGCACTAACCGCACCAGGTTCTTTTTCGAAAATAATTTCAGCTTTCCCCCAGTCACCATTGAGTGCAGCTTTGTACAGCGGCAGGTATTTGCTTATATCTTTTCCTGATAGTATGTTTTGACCTGTAATTACAACACATACAAAAAAATTGCCATTTGATCAAATCTATCTTTCCCAGCCATTGAACCCTGACCCTATAGTTGGGATCATGGAATCGAGGCCACCAAAGCACAAGGAGAACCAGTAACTTACCATTGATTTCATTATGGAAAGAGTAAGAATATGTTATTCAATTTTCATATCTGCATGCATGACGAGAAGGGCAGATGCACCCTAGGAAGTTGATGTATCCGTGTGTGGGACATGCATAGATATTGATACTTCTCAGATACTCTCAAACATATGTCTAATACTCTTTTAAGATCTCTAATTAAAAGATAAAATTTTCATTTCGGACTCATATCCAATACTTGTTTGGTGACGACACTTCTTTAAGTTGTATCTATGACTATAACTAAAAATCTGATGAAGGTGAAATGTGATTCGATATCTTTAATTGGACTATAACGATTATCCTACTCAAATCAAATGGTGTCTTGTTTGAGTTGTGTCATTTTTGGGTTTATGTTGAATATTAGTTAATTGATACTCAACCCATTAACTTAATCATGTTTAATATTAATCCAACATATTTTTTAATCATATCGTGTTAGGGTTAAAATATTTCAAGAAAACAAAAAGTCAGATATTTTCTTCTTACAATACCAAGTTAGCGGATTGTCTGATCAAAATTGGATCACTGTGCGTTAATGGGGTATTATTTGTCCATTTTCGAGTTGATATCAAAAACTAGTCAATCTAAACCACTAATGTTTTGTTAGTTCGTGTCATGAGAACTTATGGTACAACATGTGATGGTCCTCGGCTATGCCTTGGAGATTTCAATGACATCATATCAATTGGAGAAAAGGCTGGTAACAAATCACAGGAGAATATAAAGACAAGAAATTTCAGAGCCTTTGTAGATGAGAGCAATCCGATCGCTTTCAACAGCAAGGGGTGCAGGTATTCTTGGGATAATCATAGATAGGGGACGACCAATGTGAAGCAAAAGACTAGACAGGGCATTTAGAAGCCCAAAATGGAAGATGGTATATCCCAATACAGTAGTATTACTACCTCCAACAATAGGATCAGATCACTCCCCTTTGGTGTTGGACACACAAGCCCCATGTACAAAACATTGTAGGTACTACAAGTTTGAGGCTTTCTAGGCAGATAAGGAAACTTGCACACTGGTGGTGTAGCACAGTTGGCAGATGGAGGTTGCAGGCTCTAAAATCCACCAACTCAAAACAAATACTGAAAAGTTGTGGACAAAATTTAGTAAAGTGGAGCTCTACATATTTCAAAACAACTAGACGTATGTTGAACATCTTAAACGTAAACTCATTGATTTACAGAATAGCCAAATGAACAACTCATTCTAGGATGACATTAAGGAAACAAGAGCTAAAATTTGGAAGATGTGGCTAATGGGGGATAATTACTGGGGGTAGAGATCGAGGTTTAGATGGCTCGTGTGGGGGGACAAGAACACAAGATTTTTTCATGCCACCACATTGCAACAAAGACAAAGAAATAAGGTACTAATCCTTAGAGATGCAAATGAAGAGTATGTAAGAGATAAAGAGCAAGTTATCATTTTTCTGCATGCAGCACTAGTGGATTATTTGATGGCATTGTGATTCCCGTCGAGCTCTTGCAAGGAAGTCGAAGACCAAAGGTGTTCCGGAGATCGACCCTTTGATGACTAAGTCAACAAAGGCAGAAAGGGGTTAACTAGAATTGAACTGGGAGGAATTACTTACTTGGTTCCTAGCTTGCCCCTCTCCTTAATAGGCTTTTAGCTTCCTTTATTGTTGGAGCTCCCTCAGGTACTTTTCAGATAAGGCACCCCATAAAGTTAAACCTCCCTTCCATATATAGCTAGAGTTAGTTTGAGCTATTATCCTGGCATTAGGTTAGTGAATTGACGATGTAGCTAGAAGCAGCCGGGTATATCTCACAAGATTGCATATCCCATAGCCCTTGTGCCTCGTCACGTGCTTTGGCGTACACATGCTAGCCAGATTAACATCCATCAACTACCCCCCAGCTTAGACTAGTGGAGGGCATATGGTGTGCATTGATTACATTTGTTTGTTGCGTCTACTTAGCTTACTCAACAGCCAAAGAGCCATTGTGGGCCCATCCTATAAGATCTATTTTCCTTCTTCTTCGATGAGACATTGAGAGCAACTACAACTCTGGAACATTCTTGCCTCTTTGCCCTAGTCCTTTTTTCGATACAACTCTTCGCTCTGGTGCATATAGGTTGGAGCAACGTATTTCACTTTCACTTCTATCACTTTTGTTTTTTGAGGTGGAAGAATTTCAACCTGGAGTCTTTAGGGTTTTTCATGAGCGAGCTTATTCATGGTCGGGTTGCTTTTGTGCTTGACTTTTTTCTTTCTCTAGTGGTTAGAAGACTCAATCGCTCTTTACCCCCGAATTTTTACATCAATCACCGTAGCTTCCTATTTATGGCAATTGACTTTGACCAATATCCTTCTGAGAATGTCTCGGTGCTTGTAGCTCAAGCAGATGCGACCAATGAGGATTCCGACTCAATCCAAGAGATTGGGTCTTCAAACCTAAGACTTATTGGGGCCAAGAGCTTCCACAGCTGCTTGAGTGAAAACTCTCTTGAGAAGCTAAGGGCTCCATATTCTATCCCTAACTCGATGCGCTTGCGAGTCCCTTCTGACAATGAGACTGCTGATTCCTTTTTTTTGGACGGTGCACTTGCTAGTCCCCTCTGATAATGAGACTATCGATTCCTTTTTGCTAGACGAGGCTTGCTTTTATGAGTCTAACTTTGAGGCTAGATTTTGATTCCCAATCCCTCGATACATTAGGGAGGCATTTCACCTCTTAAACCTTGGCCCTGCCCCACTAATCCCCAATAGCTGGGTTTTTTTGATTGGTATGGGGGTTATTTGGGCTGGGGCAAATGGTGCCGGTGTTCGTCCTACTTTTGCCAAGCTAATGTAGTGTTACAAGTTCACCCCTTGCTTTGATCAAGAATTGGGTTGGTTTTACTTTTCAAAGAGAGAAGGTACAATCCTACTATCTAGCTACTCCTCAAATGTAAAGGAGTGGAAGGACAAGTTTTTCTTTGTTTTTGTTTCTAACTGGGAATTTGGGCCTTCTAAAGCTTCTTCTTATGACTCTTTTGGTGTTCCCCGCATTTGGGGGACACCCACCCCTTTTCAAATAAGTGTATTTTTGACAATTCCTTGTACTATCTCTGAGTTCTTGTATTTACTCTATTTTTTTTCTTTTAGGTAAATCAAATCCCCTGCCTTTTGATTCAAGAGCTCCGATCAAATTGGCGCTTGACTATCCTACAAAGGGGAAGCTTTCAAATTCTTCTAGGAATTCATTGTTTTGTTTGATTTGAGAAATACTTTGTGGTTATGCAAGAATTTGAAAACCTATGGATGTTCGGGTTATGGAACCTTGATCTAGGTATTGTACAAAACGAATGTTTTCCATTCAATTAAGGCTTGATTTGGGTTGATTTTGGGATGTATTACATGGGTTTAGTGGTAGTTTTAATGGTTGTGGTATGTGGGTAAGAATATGAGAAACCATAAGTTGGGTTTTCAACTTTGAATTTTGAATTCTTAAAAAACAAAGTTTTAATCATGGAAGGGTACTAGGTCTACTAGATCTGGGGTCAAGAAACAAGTTCTTGGGTTTTGATTTGCGAAAATCTAAAGTTTGGAAGGTGAAAATTTGAGTTGCAAGTATTGTTCGTGCTTGAGAAAATGGTTCTAGACACTCATTTTGACTCAATTTCATCAAAATGGTGTAGTTTTTAATCAAACCCAAGGATATGGGGGTTGAAAATAGGATGGCAAAAGTTGGAATCACTTAAAAATGAGAAGAAACGAGGGAGCAATCAATGGCCAAAGTTGGATCAAAAGTTGAAAAATTAGGTTTGTTAAATGATGGAGGAGGACGAAGAAGAAAGAGGAGGGGGAAAGAGGCCATCCCTCTCGAGGTGCGTGGGGATGCTTCTGCCCCTCCACTTGGATGCATTGGACTCCTATTTTCATGTGGATTCCAAAAATGTCCGACTTGCCGTGATCCGGCATTCTTGGGGAAAAATGCGTAAACTGACCATTTTACCCCTATTGAACCCGGTTTGACCTACCTATGCCAAATTAACAACAAACACATGTTTAATTACTTATTTTAAGAATATCTTTGTAATAACTTCGAAAAGTTTCACTATTTGATTTTGACAGTGAATCAAGACTGGGTAGCAAAGTGCTGTAGGTTTTCGCAATTCCGGAATAGACTTCATTTTTTGTAAACTCTTTTATATAGTTCAAAAACTTTGTAATATTATCCTAAATGCTATTTCAATTGTGATTGGGGGCATCATACTATTGTGAAAATTTGGATCTGATGTTCAATAATTTTGGAGGTCCTAAATTTATGACATGTAAGTGTACACAAGATCGAGACAGAGAGGGTTTACGTTCCAGGTTAAGACCATATTGGGTTTCATTGACTTTGTAAATTCTTGGGTGGTCCTATTGGTCTTTGAACTTGGATACCAAACTAAAATGAGGGAGCATATCTTCGTTGTGGTAAAAACCTCCTAAAAGGTAGGATCGTCTGGTTCAAATTGACCCTAAATGGTCGTTAGGGTATTACTTTCCAATGTGACATTGTATCAAACTATTTCTTTCCTATTGGGCTTTACTGTTTAACATTCAACAATTTATATTACTAGAGATGTAATAACTAACCTATGTCAAATGTCCCAATCACTATGAAGTAATTTTTTTTTAAAACTTGTGTGTTTGGAATTGAGATTATCTACTGAACTAGTTGACGCTCATCCTATGCTATTTTCTTTCTTTTTAGACTAGATTAGGCAATTTCGAATAAAGTATAGTCTAGAACTAAGAGCTATCATTTTTTGTTGATATATGTCTAGCAAATAGACTTTATGTACTGTAATAAAACTGTGGAAATGATGCTAACTGTTCTAGGCTATTGTG